ATACCCGTTTATGAGTGATTATATCACGTAGTTTAAACCATTCCATAACAATTGTACCATCCAACCAAGTACTCTATTGCGAAGTGTAAACGATAGACACAAGCTAAGACGTGATACGATCCTTGCTTATTTTAGGTCCAGGTGCTGCTAATTCACGACGTGACGCAAGAATTTTTCGTGGTAAAGCTTTCCAATTGAGCCCAGTTTCGTCTGCATTGTAAACGTTTTGGAGGGCGCTAGTTTCTTCCTTCAGTAACTTCCGTAATGAAAATAGAGTTAATCTGCTGCTGATGAATCAGCATAATTGTTGTCCTTGTATTTGAAGCTCATGAATTATGTCTCGACATAAATCGTTTTAACTAAAGTGTGCTTGCTTGAAAATGTGACAGCTCTCTAGGTTTTTCGTTGAATTGAACTGCTTTTTCACACATAATCATCAAAGAGGTAATAAAAAGGTTCTCCCTGAAATCCTTTTTTGAGTAAATCATTTATATATTATTATAACATCATCTAAATCCATGTTTAAGGTAAGTTTCATCGTTTTACGACTTTTGTGTCCGTCAAAAGACTTAGTTAGAACGTAAAGTTACTTATGCTCGTTTTTTGTCGGGAGCTGAAAGTTCGGATAAGCGGTCGTTCGGTTGATAGCGGTTCGGATAATCGATGCTCTATTGTACTTGTATATTATTATGCAGCTGTAGCTTTGTCCTAGCGGAAAAAGTTAATTTTCGCAAGTTTAACAAAAATAGGTAAAAGAAATAATAAATAAGACTTACAATCAGTTTAATTAGTGAGTAAGTCTTATTTATTATTTCTTTTACCTATTTGAAATGGACTCACACAAACAACACATTCATGATTTAACAAAAATGTTTAAATAAATTAGGACTATTTTTCGCAAGAGCGACTTCTTGAATCGTATTCTGGTCTATCCCACAAAAGTAAACTTGTCTAACTTCATAAAATTCGAACAATATATTTCCTGCTCTTGTTATCATTATTTAATGTGTATCAGTATTTAGTAATATTGAAATATATGTAAATAAAGTTTAATAGTTTCAAACGATATCTAACTAAAATTATTATTGAATAACAGTAACATTAATTATTATTTGAGCAACCACAACATAATGGGTTTACTATTGATCATCCTTGATATTTAAACAGACCGAATCCATAATAGTGCTCTTTATAAATTAATATTCAAAACACGAAATTCTTAAATTTTAATAATTTTTTTATTAAAATTTTTAGAATGTGAACAACTAATCACCTTCATGCTCGTATCAACTAATAGAAAAGATTTAATGAGCTGGACTAAATATATATATATATATATATATATATATATATATATATATATATAAACTAAAAATTTTGGGAAACTAACTTTGTAGAATAACTAAAAAATGTATTGGAGTATATACCCCAAAATATAATTTACATCCCAACATAATTATCAAAATTCTTTTCAGATTCTTTATTGTTGTGTAAAAATTATCTATGTGAAGCAGTTCAATTTGAAATCTTTAACTTAACGTAACGTGACTTGGATGTAATGCTTTTTATCTTATTAATAAGCTGGTCAAGTTTGTCTTCATCTTTCTCCTCTTTTATACAGTCCTAATTGTACTGTACCCGTCGGAGACCTACGTATTCGAGGGCGGCGGACAAGACATCGACTATCGTCTTGTGACTAGCTAATCGCAGTGTTGTCTGCCTTTAATGATCAGGAAAACCATCAATAAATGTTTGAACAACCAACTTTTCCATCATGTTTTCGGGAGCGGTTGGATAAGCATATCACACTAATCTGGCAATATCTACCTCATATTCTTAAAGAGTCTCATCTCGCTTTTGTCTTTGATTTTTAAGTTGCTACTGTTAGACTCCTAGACTTATAAGACATCTCTTAACATCAAAAATAAAGACCTTAAGCTATCCTTATTAGAATCTATGGGAATTAACAAATTAAAAAATTAAGAAATAATTCTGAATGACCAACTTGAGACAAACAGTTATTCCCTCCTCAACTTATTTAGTTAAAGACTATAGAGTGTAAACACATGCCAAAAATAGATCACTTGAGAAAAGCACTCTGCCGAAACAATTGTAGTGATACGATATATAATTATTAATTTTGTATAAGTTTTGTTTTATTGTTATATAAGGCAATATGATACATTCCTTTTTAAGAAGATCTTAAAGATCTTGTCTAGTATAAACATTGTGCAGAAGAGGAGCAATCTGTTTCTGAAGCATATCTCATATATGCTCGATGGGATTCAGATCTGGCGATTGTGCTGGCCATAGTAAAAGTGTAATATCCTCATTATGAAACCAATCTCTTACTGTTGCTGCAGTTCGTGGCCTTGCATTATCCTGCATGTAACGCAAATCAGGACTTGCAGCAGTGGCAAGTGGAAGGACAACTGGTTCTAAGATACGATCAATATATTGAGATTGATTCAAAGTGCTGTCTACAAAAACGGGAACAGTTCAATGATAAAAAATTTTTCCAGTCCACTTAACAGTACGAACAGTCCATAATAACTTGTAGACCACTATATGTACGAACACCCTATATATGCCTGAGTCTCTCTTGTCGGCCAGATCCTCTCCAAACTCTTACTCTTCTTTAATCAGGGTAGAGACAAAACCTAGCTACATCATTCTATGAATATCTCAAAACTCCATTCTTGTCCCACTCCCATGCGCTTGTGCCCACCTTAATCTAAGTCTACGATTTCCATGACGTAACATGGAAACCTTTAATGGACGTCTGGCGTGCAAGTCAGTTTCATGTAATCTATTCCTCACAATTTGGTCGCATACAATAATGTTGTGGGTATTTTTTAAGGCCCCATAGAGTTCACGTGCACAGTTAGGCACATTTCGATGAGCTAATACTACCACATACCGATCCTGTCGAGAAGTAGTTTCACGTTGATGACCTCTATGTCTTTCAGTGATATTACCAAATTGACGTGCCCGTCAAAATGACGTGCAACATCAACTTATGAAAGACCAGACTATCTTTTAAATTTGAAGTACTATTTCTTTACAGTTTAAAGCAATTATTCGAACGAATTTGTGGCGCTGCGCTGTCACTTTTGCCTTATAAAACAGTGCAATTGACAGATTAAATTACATGGCATACCTTGATTTGTAGAGATCAAGTTTTCAAATCGAATGGTATGTATTAACAAAAAGTTTTCAAGTTTTTATTGAAAAAAGTGGAATAATAATGGTGTTCCTTAGACATTTTTAATGTGTGTATTTACTTAATAATTTCTGTTTTAACTTTGGTAAAACTGAGCAACATTTAAATTTATTCTTTATAATTTTTAAATGACATGATAAACTCTACTTGGAAATGCATGATAGCATGATAGCACATGATTGAAAGAGTTAAAGATTACAACGATCTTTATCCTTCCACCGGTAAGGTGATCTGTTGTAACATGTTGGTAACCTTGGTCTCTGACACCGACCTTTTTAAAAATTAATATCTTTGGTTGTATTTTTCAATTAATATTTTAATTTATCTAAAAATGTATTTAAATAATTATATAGTAAGAAATGATCAATTTTTATTTATATTTGAAAAAATGCACGTATTCATATAACTGTGCCATCAATAATTACTTTCAAATGCAGTAAACGTAACGAAATGATTTTATTATAAAAAATTACTTATATAAGTAAACATATTATATAATGTTTATTGTATTTTAAATTGATACCAGAATATTAGAATTGATCTTGAACAGATTTTAAGTAATCAAAAAAACGTAAACATTTTACATGTTTACATAATTCAATGAACATCTGGAATATATAAAATATGTGTATCTAAACAGTTTAGAAAAACCTGCAGTGAAATTGGTGCTGTTATGCAGTCGGTAAATAAAATATTAATTTTTAAATCTTCAGAAATGCTTTTTATAAAAGACAGTTGCTTAGTCATTTTATGTTTCATTTAATTAATTTTGATTACTTTTTTTTTGAGGTTGTAAAAATCTTCTACAGACGTGTGTTGGATTTAGGTAAAAGGATACGCCCGAGTGCATTTCCCCTCTTGCCCGAGGGAGTCGTGCCCTCGAGTGCGTCCGTGATGCCCTACCTACCAACTAAAACACGCTAGCCACACACTCGCGTTTAGTCTTGTTTAGACCTTTCTAGGATCTCGTTCCTTTTTATTATTCTAGTTATTGCACCTAGGATTTCTTTTTCCACCTTTCGTGTAACTCCGTCCACTCGTTTGTAAACCTTTTGCAATCGAACACACAGTTCCGCCGTGTCGTTAACCCCGCATTTAACACAGTTGCCCTCTTCTTGCTTCCTTCCTATCCTTACCAGGTAGGCTCTTAAAGAGCCGTACCCCATAAGTAACTGTGTGAAGAAGTAGTCTCCCTGTTTCCGTATCCTACCTATTATGTTCGTTCTCCCACTCTTGCCATTTCACGTTGGTCACACCTCTCTCATCTGCTTTGTCGTTTTCTCTCATGCCGTATGTGATATCTCTTTCTTTTACTAGGAGGTGATTGGTAGCACTCCTGCTATTACTTGTAAGGCAACTGTCAAAGTTGTCCTATATGCGCAGACGACCCTTAGCAGGACCTTCCTCAGATCTTTCTCCAGAATTCTTTTGTATTTTTGTTTATGCATTACCTGCTGCCAGGGCAGTGGCGCAAAGAATAAGTTTCGAATTATACCAACTATTTAATAAACCAGATGTCGTAACGTTAATTAAAACACAGGTATACTTAGATGGGCCGGACACATCATACAAATGCCTGATAACATGATTGCTAAAAGGCTAACGACAGGAACACCTACAGCAAGAAGAAGCAGAGGCCGACCGCGAATTAGGTGGTTAGATGGAATTGAGTCCGACTTAAAGATATTAGAGATCAGAAGATGGCCAGAAGCCGAACAGAATGGCGACTAATCTTAGATCAGGCCAGGAACCACAGAGCATTATTGAGTCAAAGACGATGATGATGATGATTACCTGCTGCCATACTGGAGCTGCGTATAGTATGGTCGATTGGACCACTTCCATGAGAATTTTACTTCTACCTGTTTGGTCAATATTTCAATTTATCAATATTTTCTTAACAGGTAAGATATTTTCTCCTTCCAGAGTGAAGGAGATATGCTCTCTCGCTCTTGTACCCTTGAAGATTATGGCCTTCGTCTTCTGTGTGACTAGTTTCCCTAGGACACTAGCCACACAGAATTCCCTTTCCTAGGTTTAACGTCAATATGTCATTATAGAGTACATTCCAGAGCAACGAACCTAGGGTCGAGCCCTGTGACACTCCCGCAGATGTCTTCATTGTGTCATCTTCGTTCTTGATGTACATGAAGAGTGCCACCGTCGACCTACCTCTGCATGCTTCTTTCTCCCTTACTAACCTGTTTATGTCAATCAAAGTGAAATGCTCCAAGCTCTAACACAATGTAGAATAGATCACCGATACATATCTCTCATCAGATACATCTATCAACATGCTACAGCCTGTGTAAGACTTAATGAAGATACTGGGACTTTTCGTATTGAAAGAGGCGTTCGGCAAGGAGACAACATGTCTCCTAAATTATTTACAACTTTGCTAGAATACGCTTGTAAAACAATAGATTGGAACGAAAAGGGCATCAATGTAGATGGAAAATTTTTAAATAACCTTAAATTTGCAGATGATATCGTTCTTATTGCAGACAGCTTTGATCAGGCACAGATAATGCTCCAAGAACTCCATACTGCCACAAAAAGAGTTGGTCTTAAAATAAATTTTTCAAAAACACAATTTATGACAAATTTAGTCCACAACAAAAACATCTCAGTAGAAGACAAAGATATTGAGCCAGTTGACTCCTATAAATACTTAGGCCATGAGATCAGAATAAGTCGAGACAACCAAACAATCGAGCTGAAAAGAAGAATAAACCTCGCTTGGGCTGCATTTGGAAGGATGAAGGATATTTTTAGGTCTAAGATTCCAATGTGTCTGAAAAGAAAAGTATTTAATCAATGTATTTTGCCAGTGAAGACCTACGGCGCAGAAACCCTAACGCTCACAAGAACAACAGTGAGTAAACTACAAGTTGCGGAAAGAGCAATGGAGAGAATTATGTTAGGGATTTCTCTACGTGATAGAATACCCAATGCTACTATACGCAAAAGATCAGGAGTAGCAGACGTTATTGAAAGGATAACAACACTAAAGTGGAACTGGGCAGGTCATGTAGCAAGATCAGTTGATGACCGGTGGACAAAAAGAATTTTGGAATGGAGACCCCGAATACAAGCTTACAGAAATAGAGGTCGACCCCCAACGAGATGGACAGATGACATAAAAAGAGTGACTACAAATTGGATTCAGATGGCGCAAAATCGGACTAAGTGGAAAAGCATGCGAGAGGCCTATGTTCAGCAGTGGACGTTAGAGGCTAGTTGAAGATGATGATGATGAACCTGTTTATGTATCTATGGTAGATCTGCCTTTTTTGAATTCATACTAGCGATAGGCCTCCATTTTCTTCCATTTATTTTTCGAGCGTTGACTTTATGAGGATTTCCAATAGCTTGCCTAGTATATGTAGCATGCATATTGGCCTAAAAGTAACCGGTCCTTCCACTCATTTCCCAGGTTTAGGGATCAGGAAAAGGTTTGCCTCTTTCCATACCATGAGGACCGATGGGGGTTAGTAACCGGGAGACAAAGAAACGAATTGGAAAAAAAAAACGTCAAAAGACCGGCCAAAAATACGGTAAATAAAACCACTCTTCTTGTCGTAATCGATGAAGCAGTAGGAATGGACAAAAAGCTGCAAAATGCTTCAACTATCGATGATTGTGTTGTCGATTTCATTTAGATTTATAGTAAAATAAATAACTTGTTTTATTTTATATTTGTTAAATTTTGTGAAGATAGAGGATATCCCGTATGTTTTTACACTTGTATTGCTTTGTTTCATATATTTTCCAATTGGTACAAATTATTTCAGTAATGTTTAAAAACAGAATTAATATCAAAATAGCTAACAAAATTCCTAAACTAGATCAAAATTTCTAAATCAATCACTAACATATTTCAAAATAGGGACAAAGATAAAGTGAATATAATCTAAATAATTTAATTTCACTGTCTTGTATATAAATATGTAACAACCAAAATAATTATATAATTCTTCGGAGCTTCTATATATAAGTCTTCGGAGCGAACTAGTATATAATAAAAGAATTATTGACATCGAGAGCGAACTAGTGTGCTCCGCCATTGTCATATCGTTTTTCAACTTTGAGCTGTATCATGCAATAACAATTGATTGAAATTTAAGTTATAAAAGCTTAAATTAAAGCTTATCCAATGTACTTTTATGATTTTTGGCCATATTTTTTGGTCACTTAAAGCTTCGCAACACTCTGAATCAAAAGGTATATTTTACCCCTTCAAAGTATTGACAAATAATATAATCAAATATTTACTGTTTCACGATTAGGTAATTGTTCCTGACATCACTTTTTGTAACACAGATACCTTTTTTTAACCATAGCATACTTACTTATTGTTACTTAAGGGTGAGTCACACAGTATAGAGTACCATAGTTTATTGAAAATATTTGAAAATGACATAATTGACCATTAACCGTTATTGACCCTATCTACCAACCAACAACAAATCAATTTTATGAAAGAATGTAAAAGGTATCAGGAACAATATGGGGTTATTATAGTCAGGTAGTAAAATATTACTCACTGCTCTCTTGGAAAAACCTGTAATGAAGATCAGAATTTATTGAAATGTGCACTTTTTGAGGATTAAGCCAGCTTTCATAGAACTCATTATATAAACAGATAACTGTCATTACCATTCGACCACTAACCTTTACTTTAAAGTGATTCATGCATAAGAAATAACTTTGCCGTTAAATATTTAAAGAATTAATCATCAATCTGCTAGTTTTATTGATTTGCTGTAGATTGTTAGTTTAACGTTAACACAGTTTTCACTACTATTCTGAACCATTTCATTATTTGTTCATGTCATAATAGTAAAATTATTATTAGAATATTTCTATTTTTGTAAGTGTGTGGTTATTTGATGTTCAATTGCTCACATTTATATTTTAACGTCCATTTTACTGCGTTAAAAGTTCATTTAATATACGTTGGAACACATTAACTACCTGTTTTACAAAGAAAATGCAGCGTTTGATTTTTTTATTTCTATAAATATTTTATAGATAAGATATATAAGAAAACTAAATTCATGGTTGTCAGCCGTACAATTTAGATCCCGGGGCACTAATGGCAGGTAGCGAAGAGATCCAGAGAGTCGACAGATTCACTTACCTCGGAACTACCCTCAACTCACAATGGGACTACGCTCAAGAGATTAGATCCAGAATTGAAATGGCACGGTCAACATTTATTAAGTTGAGATCCTTGCTGTGCTGCAGTGATCTCAGTTTGGGAACCAAGATGCGGATCTCCTGCTATTTTTCCTAGTTTGTACTCTGCAATTCTACTTACGTGGCCGTACCACGTAACTCCGTACTTCTTTTTTATGTTTTGGCGAAAGAGGAACTGGACGCCGTCGTATCTCGTGGTGAAAAATCTCCGACAATGGTTTGGATGACCTAAGCGGAGCTGTTTCGCAGAGCAGTCAACAAAACCATGATAGCCTTGATGATCGCGCACATCCGGACCGGATAAGGCACTGAAGAAGAAGAAGAATAAATATTTTTATTGTGTGCCTTTGGTGCATCTACTTTGCATCTACACATACTATAAACCAATATAAAATATAGAACTATACATGTATTTTCTTTCCGGGCAGTGGGTTGCAATTGTATGTTACACCTATATTTGAGATATATATTATGTTGTCTGCCCTATAGAGTTTTTCTGTGATATTTTCAGCTATCTTCATTTTACACGCTTGCATTAATATTTTTAAAGAGGTTATGAAACAGTTTTCTCGTGTTTTAAGTTTTTATCTTAATACATAATCAAGTTAATTGATTATTGATTTTAACCCGGTATCTAGTTTTGTTGCTCTCAGGCAACATTATCTTTATAAGCATGTAAGTCAATTTGACTATATATAGCTGTTATGTGACAATGATAACTATAAGCAACAAGTCATATTAGTTATATAAAACTGGTGGCGACATCTAACCTTCAATAGAGATATTCGAAAAAAAATAATTGCGAGTACATAGGATACCAGTAGAGGTCTACGTGTAAGTGGGTGTGTTATAATTTTTATTAACAAACGTTTTATTAGGAGTATTTTGAGGTTAGCTTTTTACTTCGTATATAAACAAAGGTTGTTCTAGTGTAATTATGTGCTATTTCTTGCTGTATACGGTAAGTAATCATATTATTTTGTTGAATAAAAATCATGTAGCTCTCATGCAACATTGTCAGTTGAGTAATTGAGTTTTTTCCAGTATAAAATTTCACTATGGAAAATTTAAATAAAATATCAACTACCTCCTTTTATGGAAGAAAGATAAAAATATAGTGTATTGTTCCTGTCGACCCTAATCTCTCGGATTTGTCTGACACGGAGGAGTATGATGAAGAAATTGAAAACATCAATATAAATGAAATTGCCGTAGACTCAGATGAAGATGATGAACCTCACAATCATCAACTGTTAATTGAATAAGAGGCTAATCAAACGAATGAAGAAGACGAGCATGAAGAACCACCAAGAAAACGTAAAAAAGTATTGGAGTTAGTATACTATAACTGGTCTGATAGTGGCATAAAAATAATTCCATTCGAAAATCCAACTATAGTATCCAACTTGAGTATTTTACGAGGATTTTTTCACTAAATCTAATAAGAATATTGTATACCAGACGTTATTTCAGTTCTTTCAAATAAGCCACCAACTAAATATAACCATTTCTACCAGCAAAACTAAATGTATGACAATAGCAAAAGATCCGCTCAGATGTAAGTTAGTGGTTGAGAACAACCCCATAGAACAGGTGATGCAATTCAGATATCTGGACGTTGATATATCAAACACACACGACCCAGTAAAGGACCTAAGGAGTCAGATCAACAAAGCATCCGCATTGTCAGGATGGACGCGGGAGATAGTCTGGTCAAATCCGTATATGCGCACAGATAGTAAAATTAGAATCTACAAGACTTGCATACGACCGATCATGACATATGGCATAGAAGTGCGCGAAGATACCAACAAAACGAAACAGATGCTAAGGGTTGCCGAAATGAAAACCTAAGAACAATAGTGGGCAAAACAAGAAGAGACAGGGTGAGAAATACAAACGTTAGAGAGCAGTGCAAAATTCAAGATATTGTAAGATGGGGAAGGCAGCGTAAGAGGATGTGGTACAATCATGTAAGACGAATGGATGAGAATAGACTCCCAAAAATTGCCCTAGAAAACAACCCGCCCGGTTCAAGACCTCCCGGAAGACCACCTAAAAGATGGAGGGATAGTTGGCAATCTACCTCCCAGGAAATTAACCAGAGGCAGCTTCAGAATTAAACAGATCGAAAGATCTCTCAAGAAGTAGGAGAAGAAGAAGTATACCAGACGAATTTATACAGTACTCAAAGAACTGGGGTAAGTGTCAATACCAACACTTTCGAAATAACAGAATTTTTCTCCATTTTAATTTTTATGGCGGTAATGCAGCTGTCAGCAATAAAATATTATTGGGCCACTTCTTCAAGAATTCCTCTTGTTTTTGATGTTATGTCCCTAAAAAAATTTCAAAAACTGAGAACACTGATCCATTTAAATGATAATTTAGAAGTAACTTCAGAAACGAAAGACCGCTACTTCAAAATTCGTCCCCTTTTAGGGGACGTAGCGGTCAGAATTAAACAGATCGAAAGATCTCTCCAAGAAGTAGGAGAAGAAGAAGTATACCAGACGAATTTATACAGTACTACAAAGGAACTGGGGTAAGTGTCAATACCAACACTTTCGAAATAACAGACATTTTTCTCCATTTTGATTTTTATGGCTGTAATGCAGCTGTCAGCAATAAAAGATTATTGGGCCACTTCTTCAAGAATTCCTCTTGTTTTGATGTTATGTCCCTTTAGGGGACGTAGCGGTCAATATTTCTACAAATTGTTATAAATATCAGTTCGAAAACCAATACATACAAAATAAACCTCATAAATGGGGTTACAAGTTTATTGTAAGGGCAGGTGTTTCAGGATATATTGCCGATTTCATTCCTTATCAAGGAACTTCGGCGTTTTCACAAATACAGGGAACTATTAATCAGATTTCTGAAGAAGAACAATGCTTGAGTGCCGGTGCATCTTCAGTGATTGCATTATGTTAAATATTGGATGCCTTCCAGAATTCAATGATTTTGAGCGAAAAAAGGTTTTCCAGTTTGAGATTATTTCATTACTTATACAAGGAAAAGTATAATGTCATTAGCTTGGGCACTATTCACTCAAATAGAATAACAGGTTGCATCTTGGATACTGAAATGTTTTGCTAAAACGTAGTAAAGGTTCCTATGTTTATAAATCCGATGAACAACAGAATATTATGGTTGGCAAATGGGCAAATAACAAAAGTGTACTTCTGGCTAGTAGTTGTGGAGTGTAGCCAGTCAGCCATGTACAAAGTTATTCTATATTCTCAATACAATAAACGCATAGGTGAAGTAGATAAAGCAAACTATTGGGTCTTTACGGAAGTCCAAGTTGTAGTAAAAGATGGTATTTTCCAATAGTTACCTGGCTCTTAGATGTCTGTATTATAAATACATGGATATTATATCAAAATGACAGTAAAGCCAATCATCTAAATTTTATGTCTCTCAAGAAGTTTAGAATGGAAGTAGCTAGGTCTTTGTCCAACACTGGAAAGATCAAAGTAAAGCGAGACCGTTAATCAAGTACGGAAAATAAAGATAACCTAATTCGCCATCCTTTTGTTGTAAGACCTGATGATGTTCCCAGAACAGATGCGTTAGCATCACTGGCCGCTTTATATCGCTAAAAAAAGATGTAGATTTTGAAAAACTGACTATACAACTGTGCAGTGTGAAAAATGTAACATGCTGCTTTGTTGTAACCGAACAAAAATTGTTTTTATCATTCCACCGTTAGAATTAGGACTATATTTATAAAAGGCACTTTATTTATGTAAAAGTTTTTTTATTAAATCAATAAAATGTCTTTTAGTTAAAGAGTTCTTTACATATGATTAACTAAATTTTGCGATCTTTATTAGTCAAGTTAGTACCAAATAGTGTTTCTTGACTGCCATGTTGCTTCTAGGCAACGAATTCAAAAACGGCTTTCCCCTAGCTCCTTACAGGGGAAAGCTTCCTTTTTTGTACTACAGGCTGGTTATTGAGTGTTATATAAGATTATGTACCGAATAAAATAATTTTACTTGTTTATTTTGCGTTTTAACTTTCTACTAACAATGCGAAAATCGTTTAAAAAAATATATAAATTGATAAGTTGCTTGTAAATGTTTATCAGTTAGTGCTGTGTGGCAACCAATTTGACAGTTGACTTACCTGGCCTCGATGGCTATTTTCCTAGAAGATCGATTTGACGTAAATACATTTTTTAAATTATAGTCATAGGCGGGTCGTTTAGGAGGGGTATTGGACATTTTTATTCATATTTTTTTTGTTTTATTTACTCTTATCGTAACAAATCGTAAAGAGATGATACTCTGATTTTAACTTTTAAATAACGGATGTCGACAATTTAAAGAAAATACTGAATACTTTTCCAAATACATTCATTGTTCTAAATATAGTTGTACTGTTTTTGTTATAGGTATGTCGGGTATAACGTCGGCCAGTATAGGATCTGCGACCACCTTGGGAACAGGAAATCCTGGGGCGGTCGAGTTAATGGACGCAGCAGGAGGCCGAGCTCTAAAGTTTCAGACAGATACTCCACATTTGGTTAACATCGGAGGAGATAGATTAAGTACATCTGTCACTCTACATCCCATACCTCAAGGTAATTACATATGTTTATACTTATTTTAATTGTACAACCAATTTTAATATTTTTACCAATATTAATTTATTTCTATTTGTAAGTGTAATGAAATATTAATAAGAGTAAAATAGGCGAACTATTTACCCTTATAAGCAGATCATAAACCGACTAATTTTTTTTTTCATTTCTATCGCACCAACCCTTTTTTAAGTTCAAGTGTATTTTTTTTTTAATTTTTCAAAGTGGACCGGAAATTGTTATTAACAAATACCTTAACTAATTACTATTAAACTGGGAATAAGCCACAATTAAAGATAAAAATACGTTTATTGACGTTTCAATTTCCACTTCGGAAATCGTTCTCAAAATAACGAGAAATATATAATAATAAATATAATATACAGTGGGTGATCAAATTATTATGATCACTTCAAAAAACTTTATATTTTACTGTTTAATAAAGAATAAAACTACATATGAGTGTCTAATAATGTGAATATAATATAAAAATAGATCATAAACACGTTCTTTTACAAAATTTTAAAATATTTTTTTCTTTGACCTTAAATAACATTTTTTTTAATATTTTGTGTGACCTCCTTTAGCTTCGATGACAGCTTTGATCCTCCTTGGCATGCTTTGAATGTTTCTCAGGCAGTTTTCTTTTATTTTATCGTTTCTGTGCCAGGTGGCAATGAGTCTCTCAATTAACTGCTGCTTATTTGTGACAATTTCCTGGGCAACCCCCCTCTTCATAAGCTCCCATAGATTTTCGATCGGATTGAGGTCTGGGGAATTACCTGGCCACTTCAGTACTTTAATTTTCTTTTTTTCCAGGTACGATGTTACTCTTTTTGCCTTATGGCACGGTGCTGAATCGTGCATAAAGGTAAAATCCTCCGATTCGCCAAACCAGTCTTTGATTTGTGGCATGAGTTTTTTTTTCCAGAACTTCAATATACTGATGTTGATTCATCATTCCATTTACAATGTACAGCCTCCCTGTGCCCTTACTGCTGATCACAGACCATACCATAATCTTGAGAGGATGCTTTTCTCGCTCCACTATGCAATCCTTATGATATTTTTCACCCACTCGCCTTCGGACGAAGGCCGACTTATCCATGAGTATCTCCACTGTAGACTCATCGGAGAAACAAACCTGTGAATAAAAAAAACTATAGGATATTTTTTTTAGGATAAAAACAGTGGTTATAGTGATTTAAACTTTAGTAGTGACGTAATTTACCTTATTCCAATCCTCAATTGTCCAATTTTGGTGTTCTTTGGCCCATTCCAGTCTCTTTTTCATCATTACGATGGTCAACTTTGGTTTTTTGGCAGGGCGACATGATTTGAAACCTTGCTCAGTAAGCCTTCTGCGGACTGTCATGTCAGAAACTGGCATACCAGCTTCACGAATAAGTCCCGTGAGGATTCTTCTTGGCTTCTTTCTATTGTTTACGAATATATCCCTCATTTTTCTTTCGTCTCTGGGTGTAGTGACACGCTTTCGACCACATTTTGGGCACGCTGGTGAATCAGGGGTTTGTTGGTTTCAATTTTTTTCTTGATATTGCTCACTGTTGCTTGCGCTACTTGGCATTGTTGAGCTATCTGACGTTGGGAAAGCTTTGTATTCAATAATAGTACATTGTTTACCGGGTAGGAAAAGCTTAACATTCCTGGACGACTGTGAAGATTGCTAAGTCGAGGCGCAAGCCGAGACTTAGCAACACAGAGTCCAGGAATGTGGCTTTTCCTACGAGGTAAACATACTATTTTTCCGCAAATCGTTTAAAATTCGACAGATATTGATTGATTTAAAAAAAACGCGATAATTTTATTCCCAAATAAATGGTGCTTTGAAATTCCTAATAAAATTACTTGGGTTACTATGGAAACGTATTGAGGTTGAATTGTCAAACTTGACGCTTATAAATTTAATTGCTGGTTAACACTAACAACTGTACGGAAATATCATTTCCTTACAGTAAGGAAGTCCTGACTTTTTCTTCAAGAAATTTTGACAGGAATGTCAAAATTTCCTGGCGATTTGCGGAAAAAGTGTCTTTATTTCCACCATTTTAGACACAGGGACGTCTTTAGCCTTACCCATTATGATTTTCTTCTCAAAAATCGAAATGTTTTGTATGTTGTCACGTAATTTGACACAAATGACAGTTCTAGAGCGGTAAACGTCAAAAAAGTAAGGTTATCAGTGACAAAATATATTGGCATACCTTAATCACAGAATAATAAACAAACGAATACCCACTCTCCACGGAAAATTAAGTACGCGCATCTCCTCCGCGCAGACGTTCCGCATGTTTTAGGAGGATTTTAAAGAAATTAGTGTGTTTATGTGGTGTGCATGGAAAAATTACCAGGTTTATTTGACTTACGGCAATCATAGACATACATACAATTATATTAACATTGTTAAATATAATACATAAATATATATAATTAACTAAATAAACAATTACATAACCACACAAATCAAATGTCTGGTCCTCCTAAAACATGACGCGCGTGCTGAAAAACTTCAAGGCGGCATCTGAGAGTGGCCCTTCTGATTGTTTATTATCTGTGCGCATATAATTTTATTATAAAATTTCTGAACAAATATGAAAAACTTAAATTTTTGTGACTGATCATAATAATTTGATCACCCACTGTATAATATATATATATATATATATATATATATATATATATATATATACATATATATATATATATATATATATATTATATATATATAATAAATAGGTATTTTGAGAACGATTTCCGAAGTGGAAATTGAAACGTCAATAAACGTATTTTTATCTTTAATTGTGGTTTATTCCCAGTTTAATAGTAATAGTAATTAATTTACAATGCCACAAGAAAATAGCTTCAGAACAATATTAAAAATACCTTAACCTAACAACAAACCAATTTTCCAAATCGCTTCGAATAAATTTGTTTTATTTATTAAAATAAATACTTTTTCTATGTGGTAATTTTTCGAAAAATTCTTAATTTCCGAGTTATTTGCAATTTTTTGTTGAAAAAAAATGACTTAATTGGCGATTTTTGGGATTTTCTTTCTAAAAAAGCTACTAAATGAATTTTAATTCTGTACAAAGCTTTATAATAATCTTTAAACCTTTAAGTACAAGTAAGAATATTTCGACAAGACTAAATGGATTCTATCTTACTCAAAACATGGATGTACACGTAAACTCATCACCAATTAAAATAAATATCCTCGTACATAGGACAAACTCATCACTGACATAAAAATATTCGTTTTAAAATAGACCCAGAGAGATTGGTAAACTCATCACTGGTACTCCGTGGCAGGTATAGACTATAAACGCCTTGCAAACCGCTAAGATTCGGTAATTTGACAGAATAAATCTAAAATAGATATATTAAATGCAAATGCAATTCATTTATTATTTTTATTTGGGAATTCCACGTAATTCTAACAAAAATGTCTTAATATGCCCTTGTTCTGTTAACATGGATAGTGAACTGCTCATTTATTACGTTTTGAGCCAACGCGGACGAAAAATAATAGCTATCAATAATTTCAAATTTCAAATGCGAAAGACTAAAATTATTGCCTTTTGTGCTCTTGTGTGACGAAAGGCTGTATGGCTAAATCTCATACAACTGGTGAGTAGATTTTATATAGATTTTATGCTATCTTTTTTAGTTGTTTCATTCTGGTGGCGGATCATTCTGATCAAATAAAAAAAATAGCTTAATTAAGTTCTCTAATTAAGTTGTCAACTAGACAAGATGTTTTTTTTGGACAAGTCATAATGTTAATTTGTTGCTTTAAGTAGATTACTCTTTCTGATATTGTATTTTTAGATTTCTGATTAAATTGTGAAAGTCTATTTATTACAGTAGTTGTATACGCTGACTTATACAATTTGACATTGTTAACTCTTAATAAAATTCATATTTTTAACCAACCGTGATAAAGCCTTAGTTATATTATTTCAGATTAGATTTTAGGTAGATTATTCTAAAACATTCAAAATCTCAAAAAGTACGATAGATATTACGTTGATTTTTCACCTATGGATGTGACGCTAAAGATTTTGGTTTTTTTTATTATGACAGTTTTACATTAGATACCATTTAATTAATTAAGTTTGATTGTTGGTTAAATTTTCTGAATTTTAATTGCAATAAGAAAATTAATATTCACAAAACTGTTAGATATAAACCTAAGTATGTATATAAAATATGTATGTTACTTATGCAATATTCATTGGAGAAAAGTACGGTAATAATAATAAGTGCGAATCAGTGTAATAATGAGGATGGTGTTCTGAAGCTATTTTCTTGTGGCATTTTAAATAAAAATACGTTTATTGACGTTTCAATTTCCACTTCAGAAATCGTTCTCAAAATACAAACAGTAAACAAAATTTGTTTAATTTACTGTTTGTATTTTGAGAACGATTTCCGAAGTGGAAGTTGAAACGTCAATAAACGTATTTTTATCTTTAATTGTGGCTTATTCCCAGTTAAATAATAATTAATGAGGATGGTGTTCTATTGAAAACATTTTTTTAACAGTTCTCCCATTGGCTGGGTGTTTAACCGAACTACTTGAATTATCCCCCATTTATACACTGCTTTTAATTTTGTTTTAATTTTAATTTTAATTTTTTTAACTTCAAGTCAGTTTTCTTCTCTTTTTTACAGTATTGACAGTGCCTGGTAGACCATTTTATTGTAGTCAACCATCCACTATCCAATAGATCGTTTAGTTTATTTCTTTCATTCACACTTTATGTTCACTTCATTTACTCTCAAACTTACAACCTTATTATTACAGACGGGTTTGAGTGTGAGATCTGGATTATGCAATCTAGTTAAATCAAAATATTCTATATGTCATATTTCATAAGCTGATTTTCTATAGTAGTTTTAGTTGGACCTTTGGTCAATGTCAGTTTACTTACACAGAATTTTAATATGTGCAGATCACATATCCATGACTGTGACTGCCCATCAAAGCTGTCATATGTCACATATCACCTTAGCATTTCCGTTAAACACCATTCTCTCTCCTGTTACCGACAAAGAATGTAGAGCGTAGAACTATTTTAATTAATTTTAAACTGTTTGTCCTTGTTTTAGTGTAGTGTTTTGTACAATTTTATGTTAACATTCATGTTTATCACATTCTACGCTTGCTGGATAGCCCATATTTGACGAAGTAAGTCTAAAACGTTAATCAGAAAAAACTTTTATCATCCATTAACTTCGAGTTTTTATCGAAGTTAATTAATTTCCTCATCTAAAAAACGTTTTTTGGCTTATTTTAGATGCCCCTGAAGATGCTATATTAAGCGAAAGTACTTGGGCAAGATTTGATTAAACTTGTGCTCGATATTTGCCTTAATTTTCAAAGTTCATTTATTCGAGCATTCAACCTCATATCAATTATCAACTATTGAAAACATCCTAAATCTTGCCACATGCAACATCTTGTAAAGGCGAAAATAATTTTTGGTGATAGACCACTTAATTCTAGAGAACTTCGCTATTTTTCGTACTTGATATAATGAAATAATTTTATTATAAAGTTCACTATCAAAAACCTATGCAACTGAATTTTCCGATCTTAAAACCGTTTAGATTGGCAGATACGTCTAATAAGCCACACCGTAAGAAACCCGATATTGATATCTATTTTAAAGCAATAATTTGCTTAAAATAATTTCTGAATTTAATAAATTACCACATAAACGAGAAGTGTAACACGTTACAGGCAATATTTCGCATTAGAAACTAACGCCTAAGGCAAAAATGCTGGTGATGAGTTTACCTATCTTCGGTGATGAGTCTACCTATCTCCAAAGGATGCCGGTGATCAGCCTACTATATCTCGGAAGGTGATCAATTTACTATATCTAATAATTTAATGGGGGGTTATAAAGTGATGAGTTCGTACACGTCCAAATATGAAACCAAATATTCCTAATAATTATGATTTTGAGTATTTGATCGCGGCGATACAGGCGCGCTGCGCTTGAAAATCTGTATAAATTTAAATGATGTTTTTAGCAAGATAGAAACCAGTTATACTTGTCAAAATATTCTTACTTATACGTGAAGATTTAAGATTATAAAGCTTTTGTAGAATTGCAAATGATTTAGTAGTTCTTTAGAAAAAAAACACCCAAAAATGACAAGGCATTAAAAAAAATGTAAAATGACTCAAAAAGTAAGCATTTTTCGAAAAAATTACAAGGAAGAAAAAAAATTTATTTTGATGAGATACGTCTAAAAAGTTTTACTCTAAGCGATTCCGAAAATTGTTTTTTGTAAGAAGTTATTTGTTAATAACAAATTCCAGCCCATTTGGAAAAATAACATAAAAATATATTGCTAACCTGAAAAAATATATAGAACCGATTAAAAAGGTTTAGTGAAAAAAAAATTAGTGGGTATATTCAGTTCTAAGCGTTTTTTAGGGGTAAACCGGTCGCCTGAAACATGTGTGGGATAGACATACTCGTATGGATTATTTTCAATTAATTCTAATCTAATTTAAATAAAAGCTCACGGAATTTTTCCACGCTTCAATCTTCTCAATTTAAGGCTGTCGTCAAGTGCAGACATGGCTTCTTTATTCAGACGGTTTAATAGTTATTTTCATGTTTCTAGAAAAATTGATTTACTTCACTGATCTATTTAATTGCCAGAATTGAGTATTGCTGGCGTCACGGCATGCATTGGTAAAATGACGAAAAAATGTATCTATTATCGATTATATTATTATTTTGAGATAGGTTCACAATCAATAGTAATTTTAATATTATGTCATATTTAATAGAAACCTTTACGTAACATGACTGACCGTTTAAATGGCAATACTCTACAAAGTAAAGTAGTAAAAGTAATTAAAACAAAACATTATTAAAAAAGTTGATGTTTTGGTATTAGTCACTGTAACTTTGAGTTGCAGATTTTGTATTTCAAAGGGGCCGTTTACAGTATATAACACCGTTAGCGACTAGCGACTATCTTTCTCTCTCTCTCTTTCTCTTTCTTTCTTTATGTCACTCTCCAGTCCTGGCCCCCCGGAGGGAGCGTTCCCCGGAGTGGTCAACGTATTGTCGTGTATTGCCGTGTCCAAAGATCTCTGTCTCTGGTCATTTCTTTTAATTCATAGGCATAGGTCTTTAATTCTGTAGTAAGGTCCTGTAATTTGGTCGATCCATCATGTTGGGGATCTTCCTTGTGACCTTCGGCCTTCTATCTTTCCTTGGATAATAAGTATTTCCATGTGTTAAATTATTTATACTGTGGTCAGTAACATTCTCTTCCAACAGAACATTTCAGTGGCGTCTACATTTCTTTTCTCAGCTTGTTTTAGGTTCACATCCGTAGGTCAGTATTTCGAATATTAGGAAGTTGATTAACCTCATTTTAGAGGCCGTGAAATTATAGAGTCCGTCCATATATTAGCCATTTTTCTTAGCCCTCAACATCATACAGGTGGTTATGTGTACATGATTGCAGAGCAAATGTTTGACTTTCATTTTCGACCAGTCGTATAATATCAATTAAACATTTGCAAGAAGGGCTGAGGCTTCTGCAAAACATAGGTTGTTTATTTTTCCGTCATTTTTTCTCTTCCAGTAGTGTGTTCGTATATTATAGTTCAGTTATAAGCAAAATTAAGTGTTGTGATACGCCTACTTCTTTTAGTATCTGCCATGAGTGTTGCCATTTGAAATTGTCGAATAGTTTAAGATAATCTATAAAATAAATGTGTAGTGGGATCTTGAATTCCCTAGATTTTTTTGTTATTTGTCTTATGTTCAGAAGGTGTTCTCGAGTACTTCTACCTTTAGTAAATCCAGTTGGCTGTTGGGGCATTTCTCTTTGTAGGAAAGTTTTCCGTCTTTCATTGATTATATGTGGCATATAATCAAACCTTTGCTGCCTTTTTTATTGTCGTTATTGTAAATTTTGTCGTCGTCAGGCCATTGCTTGGAATGCCATATTTTATTATAGAGCAAGTGAAGAAATTTTATTCCGGTTTCTTGTGTGGCTTTGAGTATTTCTGCGGTTATCATAGAACTATTCGCGAACAATTTTCCTCAAATACCAGACAATATGTTCGGCTCTTTCCTCTATATTTTCACAAAACCTGCAAACTGACCTTTTTGTTTTTCTTCTGGGAATATTTTCCTTCTTTTGTTCACGTAGAATACCGTAGAATGGTGCTGATATGATAAAAGGAGTAGTAGCTTCTTCTTTAGAAACACTATCAACAATCTCATTACCACCAATTTTTTTCTAACCTCTTAACTCTCTACATCTTTTTTAGATGTTGTTCTGTATTTAGTTGCTGTTCTGTGCATTGTTATTTTGCACATGCTGTTTTCTCTGTTGTTAAAATGAAATTCATGTTCTGAATGGCACTCCAGTCTTGTTTTCTTACATATATGTCCCTGTTTTTTTATATTTCAATATATATTCCAGAGATTAAAGGTTGGAAAATATTTAATTGTCTACATAGTCTACATAATTATATCTGATATGCTTTGGTTATTTTGATGGTATCCAGTG